GTAGGGAAAAAACCAAAACTGTCATTTCAATACAAAGAACCACGAAGGAAATCTGAAATTGTCAAATGCCCAGAGCATACTTTGAGAGAGCTTCCTGATAACAAGAACATACAATATGATTCAATTCTTGTTTAATTACATAAAGGATCATTTAAAAACTCATTTATTTGAAAAATGCTTGGCATGGCAAATCCATTTGAAATTACACACAAGAATAGGTAATTAAAAATGCAAACTGAACTGAAGATTAAAAAGGGAGAGTAAACCTAATATGCTTCTTAAAAAAAAAAACAACATACCCCAGCCTATTAGTATGCAGTTTGTTTCAATATAAAATATTCAATGGGCAGATCTGTGATTTTCAAAACCCAAGATTTTAACTGCATGCTGCTCTGCTCATTTAAGAAGGCAGCTCAAATACAGTGGTAGCAAGTGATCCATTTTGCAATTGCACATTTTGCAAATGCCATTGTTCAGGAATCTTTGAAGCAGAACAAATCAAACTTCTGGAAGTAAACCAACCCTGCCAGCTCCTGGAGTATTCAGGCTCAGATGAGATTCAGAGTCAAGTCTCAGTTTGCTTCTTTTAGTGTTGCAGTAGCTTGCATGAAATGAAATCAGAGTTTGTGTATGTTGCACTGCTTCAGTACAGCCCTCAACAGATAAAAATCTGTATTAGGAAACTACTAGCAAAACATAACAGCCCTGAAAGCATTAACTGCAGGATTGCGGGCTTATTGGACATGGGGAAGAGCTGATGGAAAATGGAAACATACAGCCAAGAAAACAAGCAGTCTAAGCTTGCCCTCTTCCTCATACTGATCCCTCACCATGCACTGTTGGACACTCCTGGGGACAGAGCTAGACAAATCTTTGGTTGGGCCCACTGGCTAAATTTTGGCAGAGAGGGGCAGCTTCACCAGGAGAGCCAAGTGAGGGAAAAAGGATCTGCTGGACACTGCCAGTCAAACAGATGCTTTAGAATCTGGAGCACAGATCTGCAATGTAGAAAGCACAGGGATGGTGGAAGGGAGGAAGAAGGATTGAGATCAAATAACGCAGTCTTGAAACCACAGATTTTACAGTTTTTTTCACCGCAATTTCTTTCAGCTTGTTGTCTGATCAGCTGTTACCCTCCATTCCAATCATCATCTTACACATAATTTGTGGAATACTTGAGAGTTCTTTAGATCAGTGATGGTAAACATAAGATATTATTGCAGGAAATCAGCAACGTAAGACATTTCAGTGAACTGGATTACTTCCAATTAACTCATCTTCCAATTAACTACATACTAGGGACTAATTTAAAGATTAAAGTAGGCACCTACTGTTGTTCTAAGCAGAACAATGTCCGCTTCTTCCAAGCTGCAGCGGATGCAGTTTGCCCACACATCCCACTCGGGCTTCCAGTAAAACAGCAGCAGCAGAGCCCCACAGGACAAGATGTATCCAGCAATGCACAAGGCCTTTCGGCAGCCTTGAGTTTTGTAGCCAAAAATCTCCTGTACAGCAAAGACAAGGAAAAATCATTACTATTTCTTTTAAAGAAACACCTGGAGTACTACACTTCCCCATCATCTACTGCTTTCCCATAGGCACTGTTTGGTATTGTACTGTGAAAAACCAAGTCATAGAACTTGTATTTGGCTTCTTTATGTGTCCTAAACATGACTAGAAAAAAATTTTGCATGTTCCACAGAAGTTTCCACCCTTCACAAAATCTGGATTGCTAAGACTGACCAAACCTCTAAAATAGTTTTATGTAGTTGCGAAACTCAGCATGAGACACTGTTATGTGTGTGCATGAGTTGGGACGATATCAAAATATAGAGGCCCTAACCTTTAGGCCCCAAGCCAGGAACACAGATTTGCCTGGTCAGGTTTTTTAAGTCCCTGGGTGAGACAGCTGAAGAACTTGAGCAGGTCTGCACGAGGGGGTGGAGAGTGGTGCAGACCCACTGCAGCAGCTGAACAGTGCCTGCTTCAGAATCAGAAGCAGTACTGCTGTCCTGCCATAGCAGTGAGTCTGCATTAATGCACCTGCACTTTAGAGACTCAGCTAGTGTCTCTGCATGGTGCCGAATGACACTGTGTGGCTGCACCAGCTGGAGCTGCTTTGCACAACTCGGCACAGACATAGCCTTTGTAGGGCTGTTACCATCTTCCATGACAGCTCCAATCTGGGGAGTTTGGACCTTGCCAATGTGCCATTGTCCTAACATCCAAAAATAGTAATAGTAACTGTTAGTAAGAACAACTAATGAACACTTGCAGAATGCTTTACATGTTCAGAGGGCCAAAGGAAGCTACTCACTGTAGCTGTATGAGTAGGTATTATTATTAAATTTTTAAAGCTGGGGAAATTGTTACAGTGAGACAAGGTGACTTGCCCAAAACTTCAAAGGGATGACTGTCAGCATTACAGTTTAAGAGTTGCCAGGTCTTGGTACTATGGCCGAATTCCCTCTCAGTAGTGCTAGCAGGGACTTAGTAAAGGTGAAATGAAATGTATACAGTGAATTCACAGAGGAGACCCAGATCTGATTTAGGATGAGAGATTGCATGGCTGCAATTACATTGGGTGACCAGGAGAATTTGCTAACATAAGGGTTAAGATTCCTCAATCTCCTTCTTCCTAGTGTATCTGCAGCAATTGTGCAATCTGCTTCTGAAGATCAGATATCTGCAGCCACAGATATTGCAAGATCCATTCATAAGGTGAGAAGAAAAGGCAATGTAATTGGAAGGATGAGTAATGCATAATTCCTGGTTCTGTGCTGGTGTCTTTGCTTGTTATGCGAAATGCAGGCCCTGCCCAGTGGTTCCACACGCTGCCTTGGCCTACCTGCTCTACGTCATTCTCCAAAAGACAGACTTTATCCTCCTAGGTAGTCTCCACGGGGTTTCTAAAGGGAAGAAATAGGCAACTGTGGGGAAAAAGTACGGTGAACTACACAGGGAAGTGGCCTGCATTGCACAGGACGTGGTTATACCACCTTGAGATGCACATGCTCAGCATTTTCAAAGGCTTCTATAACCTCTGAGCAGCCCAAGAGAATAAGGCAACTCTGCAGCAGATAGAAGGAAGCTCATGGAGGACAGCAGATAGGCAAGGTTGCTAGAAGGTAGCTGGTGTGGCAGTCATGTGCTATTAATATTCACATGTTCCTAAAACAGGTAAAGGGCTCTCCATTCATCTCTGTCTAGTTGTATCCTTAACGAAAAGGTTACAGAATTAGTGTCAGCACCAGCATACAGAATAGTACATAGAAGGATGTGAACTTACTGTTCACAGCAATGGCTTACTAGCAAGATCCAGGTGCTTGGATCCAGACTTGACAGCTTGTCAGCAAGGCAAAGGAACTCCCAAGGAGACAGAGATGCCTGAGGGAAGAACTGTTAAAAGAACGTGCCTTCGGACTTCCTCCAGTAAATGGCTGGACCTGGAATAACTGGAATAATATTTTCGAATTGGATGGCATGAATATCAGGGTGGGGTAGAATGAGATTGCTGCCATGTGCATCTTGCTTCTGCCAGTGAATCACTTCTGCAATTTCCAGCTTTTGTGCCTTACACCCAAAGTCTGAGAAGTCAATAAGGCTGTAGTTAATGTCATTAAGAAGGAAGAAGGTGGGCATTCGGCATATGACTGGCAGTCATTTGGGATCATCTTCTGTTGGCGGTGTTCTTCTCTGCTGAAATGCTGAACGATTCCCCAAGCCTGATATGACAACATAACCACAGAGCTAGGCAGACTCTGTCTTTCTCTGCCTAGGAAACCATGCACCTATATATCAAAATAGGTATCTGAGTCCCCCTACACCTCCATATGTTTCCAGGCCTTTGTTTTCCAGAATAGTTTCCCCTCAAAAAATGGTTTGATCCGTTAGATCCCAAGACACTTCCCAAAACCAAGCATGCATCAGTATTCCTCGTCTTGAAAACTAGGAAACAGGAAGACAAGGAAAACAGCTCAGCTGGGAAAAAAAGGCCATGCTCTTAAGACGCCTGCTGGCTCTTATTGCTTCTCACAAGGGACTTTCCTGAGATAGACAGATAGGTAGATAGATAGGTAGATAGATAGATACCGTCAGCTGTTCTGACCCAGTGCGCATTCTGCCCTATGAACACAGGTGTTGGTTCAGGTTCGTTGGTTTGTGTCTTGATGAACGTGACATTTCTGAATATAGGTGTTCAGGAGCTCTATAAGGAGTAAGCTGGGAAAGAATAAACATCAGATGTTAACTGCTATTTTGTATCTGGTTGTCCGTGCAGGAATCCAAAGCCAAAGCAAAGCATTTCCCATGGTTTGGAAATGTCTGGAGCACATCACCTGAGCCACATGACTCAAAAGTAAAGCTAGGCAGGGAAATAGACTGAGCTCCAAACCTAACTTGTGCCAAAGTTCCCTGGGCCAGAACCTTTCAATACTTAACTTCAGAATAAAATGTTCTGTTAGGTTGAGATGTTTTTCCTGACCCTGTGCCTTCAGCTGGAAGGACTATAGCAATGAATGCTGCATTCATAAAAAAACATCTAATACGTAAATAACTCCTTGTTGAAACAGAAACAGTGTTAGTACAAACACTTCTCACTTGTCAAATAAGCCAACAGTGGAATTCTTTAGAAGAATTCTCAAAGCCATTATCTTCTCAAAAAAAAGGTGAATATTAGACCCACAATAGAGGTATCCACAACGTGCATGAAGGAGGGGGGAACAGGCACACACATGATGCAGGTTTCTCAGCAGGTTTATCTAGCCACGTGAATGCCTTACAGTAATTAGGGTTTGGAAATTCTTCAAGCTTATTCAGGATTCACTGGGCCTATACTACAAGGATCTCCAAGCAAATGCATGTCCACTATGGCAAACAATACTTCCAGGGCTGGCAGAAATCCTGGTATTGATGTCACCAGTAAGAACATGTCTGTCAGGTTGGATTTATGTTGTTAAAGAAAAAAGAGTAACTTTTGCTGGGTTGTATTTCATTGCACAAAGAGGCTGTGCTGATGCAGACAGGCTACTTTTGAAGATGGGTCTGATGAATACAGATTTGCACCTTGACAACTTTTCTACTGTGTGAGCAGGTTTTTAGGGCTCAGTGTGTGCATTTGGCGTATATAACATTACACAGCCAAATACCCTGGGTTCTGGAAGGCACCATACTAAGAGATGGTGGAAAACAAAGCTAAGATTACCTATCTGTAATACCCCAAAGGGCTTCTCATTATCTCACAGGAGGTAGCACTGTCTACAAAAGAGGCTGGTACACAGGGCTCATCTCACCTCTGTAGAATAATTTTTAATAAATTATGTGTATTGTAAAACTTTGTTTCCTCATCTGTTAACATCTCCTTTCTCTTGAGACTCCTAACAGTCAGAAGAGTGACTAAAATAAAATGGTTTAACTTATAAGTGAAGGGTCTAGGGAGGGGCCATGGATTATTGGACAGGAAAAGCTGCCAGACCTGCTCAGCTGGAAGAAAATGTGCTTATTCCAAGACAGGTTCTTAGCTGCTTTTACAATCATACAAAGCCAGCACTCAAGGGCTTATCACTCTAGTGTCCAGCAAGTCTTTGTTACTTACATTTAAAAGAAAAATTGCCTGTAACTGCCAGGTCATCTGCACAGCAGAATTTAAATGCAAAAGTCAAACAAGTTCAGGCACCCTTTTCTTTGGTGAAAACAAGGCCTGTAGCTACCAGCAAGGAGCCTAAACAGTGGCTGTGAACTATCATATTTCTGGCAACCCAGTCACCAGGTACCCTATTACAAACAACCTGTTGCTATAACAACAGATAATAGGATTAGACTTGAAAGACTGGTTAAGATTCACAAGGAATTTAATAACTGAATCTCATTCTTACCAACTGGAATCTGTTTCATCAGAGGTTTGTTTCTCTTCCCTCTGAAGCCAGTAGCAACATTCGCTATTGTTCCGTTAGGAACAAGGTTGTGCCTTTCAGATTCTATCTTAATTTTAAGAGTTAAATTTTTCAAACTCAAAGTATATAAAATTCCTTGATCAGATTCTCTTCAGAATTTTGGCATCCCAAAGGAGGCAGATAGCTGCCAATATGCAGCGGCAAACCGGGGTTCACCAGCTGACTGACTGCAGTTGTCCCATTCCTTCGACATAAGCAACTGGGGAACACATAATTAAGACAAGCTTCTGGCAAATCCTTCCCAAAGCAGCAGCCTGTCAAAGTCTAACACATTCTCTTGCACTGCAGGACTTAACGCTTTGCACTTCAGAGTTTGTGCAAAGGGAATGATTAGTCCCTAGCTGTACAGAGAGGAGCATCAAATTGGCAAAGGGCATAAAGCTGTGTTTTTCCTCCCTTTTCCTATTCCACCAACAATTACTTCTTCTCAAAAACACCTTCAAGCAGATCTTTCTGAAGGAAAAAAAAAACCACCTAAAATAAATCCCTTCCTATTACCATACTTATTAGCCCTCTCTGAGGCAAGCTGCTGTGTTCAGAGTGCTCTCACACACTACTGAGATCTTTCCAGTACTACAAATAGTTATGAAGAGAGCGCGATATTATCTCATGCTCAAATACATATTGCTAAGTTTTAGCTGGGTACCAGGAGAGTGAACTTTCATTCAAGCAAATGTGCTCCAGCCATGTAAAGTAATCCCAAAGATATGCACAAAGATACATAAGGTAGATTTCCTAAGTCAGAGTGATTATTCTTAAATACAGCACTATCTAGCATCTCAGCTGTACCAAGAAACGGAAACACTTAAGAAAACTTAGAAGTATTTCTTCTCATTAGAGCTCCCCAACTTTCCTCAGCAAAATGGACAGCTAGTTCAACACAGGAAAGTATTGCATGTCCAGAGTGCATGCAAGAGTTCTTGGATGCTACTACTTGCACGCTTTCAAAATTACTTGAACTATTTCACTCTGGAAGAACTGGCACCTGCACAATGTCAGCTGTTACATTCTTATACCAAGTGATACGATCTTGTTTCAGGACTCAAGAACTGCTTGTTAATAATTTGGTTCAGGTGGATTAAACTGACTGATAAAAATAATGTTTAAAAATATTTTTCATGACTTAGAATTTAAAAAAAATGTTGCAGGGTCACTGAGACCGTTATGTGCCAGTGCCACTTGCTGTGGCTGCCAATAATTTAAAATACACTATTTTAACAAAGAATGTCTGCACATAATTCTCCTTTACCCCATGTACTCTCCTTCTCTCCTCTGCTTAAACACAGCCTTCTTTGTCTCTTTCTTCACAACTTCTCTCACCTACATATTACTTTCTTTCTCTCTTTCACACAAATACACACACTAGCTGTTCTCTCTTTCTATACATACGTTTTTTTCCTCACCCTCTTACCTCAGACACCCTCACAGACATCTTCCTCTCTCTCAGAGTCGTAACTTTTTTCTCTCTCTCTTACACATATGTAACAAAGACGCATACATACCTGCCAAATATAGCACAATTTGGCTATGGTTTTAATTACACCTACTACTCAACTGCTTTATCAATCTTTTTTCTGTGATTTTCCTTTGGGAACCCCAGGTGAATGAGCACTGTCATGCTCACTGCAGGCATAGAGAGCATGGCAACTGCCAGACACCCTGGATTCACAGTGCAGATTGACTCAACACTCTGCACACACACCAGCTGTTCATGGAAAACCTCAGATTCACAGTGCAGATATCCGAGCACTGGATTCATGGCACATGTGCTTAGTATGATACTGGTGAGAAACAAGAACATTACTGGGATAGCAAGCACCACTTGGATGTCCCAGTAGTGCACAGCTGGAGTTGGACACGCAGGGTACAATAGCGTGGCTCTACGCAGCACCAAACAGTCCACTTAAACCTAATTAGCTCAGGCTCAGTTCTGGCATTGCTAGTGACAGTGCCACTAGTGCGAAGAGAATGACAAGGTGTTTATGGTCCTAGAAGGACAGGGGCAGGGTGGAGCACAGACAAAACCAGCAGCCGTTTGGAGCTGGGGAGCAGTGGCACATCAGCACCAGGGCTAGAGCCAGGAGCGGGGTGCTGCGAGCAGGTTTAGTAACTCAGCAGCAGAGCCAGTTGGGTTCTGCATTGCACTGAGCTAATTAGTCCCCACCCTCAGAGCTAGTGCCTTGCACTTCCTGCAGTGCTCAGTTCATGCTGCTGGATGACTCCGTACTGCATTCTCCAGCACATCTCAGACTACCCAGGTTTGCATTACGCAGAATATGACATCTCCCCTTCCCTGGATGGCAGAGAGCTGACTGAAAATCCAGGTTTGTATCTAGGGACAACAAATGTCCACATTTTTCCATGACTAAAATATAATTCTCAGTGAGCAGATTTTGAAGATTTCTCCAGGATTTCTGAAAGCGAACAGTCATGTCAGCTTGTAAGTGACTGTGTTTCACTAGCTTTGCTGGGGCTGTTGTACACCCAGAAATCCTACACGCGCTCATAGCACAGCTACAGTGGCTCTGCAGCACGGGAATTTTGAGAAGCACTGCATTTACCAGACATGCATGAGAATTGTTGCTGTACAGCTGCATCATGGGTCTGACAGCTCCAGTAGAATCTGTTAGACGGACAGAATGCATATGTGATGAACAGCTGATCTGTAACATGCAGTTACAGATCAGCTGCCAAAGCAGACAAGAAGCACTGAATTTGCTACAGTCGTTCACTGGGCTTACTATTTAAGAGAAGCGCCATGCAGTAGATCAGATATTTCATGTAAACATAGGACTTATTTCCACATGTTACGGAATGCATGTAAACATACTCCTCCCTGGGAAACTCTGGAAACAAATATGGTAGTTCTGTATTTAGAAATCCAGCTTAATACAGGTGCTTAGGCTGGAATAGTGTTGTCAATTCAACAGACTGCATTTGCTAATAATTCATGCGAATGTAAGACATGTGTTTCTATGTTCCAGAGAAAACCAAGGTTCCTAGTCCTCATCTAACTGGATCTCACCCTAGAGATTCAGCTGTCAAATGGTTAGGAACACCGCTCCGGCCCATCCCTCAAGCTCATATAAGACCACCTCCACCTAGATTTATAATGCCACATCAATAATCTGTCGAGCCATCCCCTCTTGGAGGGGATAACCAATTAAATCCAGTGGACACATACAACTCTCTTTTCTTTCTGCTAAAAAAAAATTATATCCCTTTCTAACTGTATGTTTCTGCTATGGGAACACCTCCACCATCCAAAACTAAATTACACACTGTAGCATTTTATTGCACAACATGTGCCATCTGCTGCTTCAAGTTGAGAAAGACCTAGACAGAGATACAACTCACCATCTCATTCTCTTCTCCCTGGTTAAGCTGTGCGTAATGGTTCTTGGCAGGATTTTCCCCCATGAAATGACCCTCTGGAGACTTTCTAGAGCACCCTCAGGACAGGTCTTCAGCGTTGTGTGCTTCAATTTCCACATTGAGGAAGTGCTCTAAGCACACACCTTCCTTATAACTCCGCTGATGTTTGAAGAATGGAGCTCCTCCCTCTCTGTGGGGTTAGCAGGTAACATTCATCCCTCCTCCCTTCATTCTGTTGTTGGAGTTTTGCCACTGCGAGGGTACATGCAAAATGCACTTAAAGACACTGCAAGAAAGAAAAAGTTGGTCTTACAAGTGTTTGCCACAATATGACTCCAGGTCATAACTCTGATCAGTGCAAGCAAATACTGTTGGCATGCAACTTTCGGGGGAGGGCAAGAGGGGAATACTTTTCTTTGAGAGATTATGGAATCACTGGAGACCAGGAGTGTGTCCAAATGAGAAGGAAAATAGGCTATTGTTACACTCTTAGCAACCAGCCTGAACTAAGTGTGCAGCTGTGATCCCCACATATGCGTTGGAAAAAAGTTCAAGCTCTGGCATTGCAAACTGGGGCCCCAGTTTTTGCAGGTGGATTTATGCACTGACTGTGTGTCAGGATCCAGCCATGTAGGATCTGTAACCAGTATTTTTATTCATTATTAAGAGTATCATCACAGAATGTCTTCTGACCTCACCATATAGCTTTGGGAAACATCACTGAGATTATTTACTCACTCCTGGGGGAAACTGGAGTTCCCCACCAATGTCAGTGAGCTGGATACAAACATCTCTCCAAATCAGGGCCAAAAGGAAGCTGGCAGAAAAACAGCACTGAGGATTTTATCACCTCCTTTTTTTGCTACTCTCGGGCTGCATTTGTTTATTAGTCTTGTGATTCATTCTCACTCTCATTACTATTTCCTTGTCCTTTGCTACTTTTTAAGAAGTTACACACCAAATATTTTAGGAATGAGGTCAGGAAAGGCAAACTTGTTCTTTCAGCAAATATGTTAAGGGAACTAAAATATTATTTCTAGGGTGACTGAAACAGATGAAGAGGTGCCAAGTTAGTTCCTATTCATTAGCATTTTACTTCCACGTGGCATGGACTTGTACAAGCCCCAGACAACTCAAGCACCAGGAAAGACCACTGCCTACCCTGCAGAGGGCAGGCTCAGAGAAACTGAAATGGGAGAAAGGCAGGGAACAGAGAAGAGGAAATGAGGGAGCTAGGTCAATTAACACAATAAAAGTTGCCCATTGCTAATAATGTGAGCCGGGCACAGACCTGCAAACCTGATGTACATGTATGCACAGCACAAGAACAGATATGTTCGTAAAATGCTGGTGACAAGCAGTTTGCGTTGGAGCTAAGTTGTCTGGTCTTGAGACCTAGCACACTTTCAAAAGGAATCCAGACCAGAGGCTGGACAGAAAAGGATATAACTGTACTAAGCTGTGTTAAGGGTGATTTGTTGCAACAAGATCAAGAGGGAACAAGGTGCTCTCCATACCCCAGCTTCAGTGTTATCCTTTCCTTCCCCCCACTGCAACTCTGAGGCTAGCTTTGAGCCTTTCAATTTTGTTATTCTGAGACCCAGCAACAGGAACTCCAGTTATTACAAGAGAATCACAATTTTCAAATAAAAATTAAAAAGAAAGAATGCAATAAAGTCCATTTCTTATAAACCTGATTATACAGGAAAACTGAGCAGTGCTATCTAGAAGCTATAAAAGACAGGAAACAACTGCAAAGGTACCTTTTCCAAGGCAGGCTGATGATTTTGGGAAATGACTCATGATTTTGGGAGGTGCCAGGCAGGAGCGCCACACACGCTTTTTCTGCCTGGTCAGCTTTTGCTGCTTCCCCAAATGTCAGCCTTGCTCTTTCTAGTGTCTGTAGACAACTAGGGTGCAGTAGGGGTTCTTGGCTGCCCTTTCACAGAGAAGAGCGATGAGCTGCATGCAGAGTATCCCACCAAACCTGGCTCTCCAGGGAAGAATCAAGGCTCATCCAATCTATTCACTATTCATAGGCTTAGTCCAGTTCCTATCGACAATTTCTGCTCCTGCAGAACACCCTTATTAGGGAGATTTATATCTTCACAACTGAAAACAACAAAAAAAACCCCAACAGATTAAAGGTGTAAAACATTCATCATTTCCATAGTTTGGCAACCTGTCATAACATTCCAGCAAAATCTGTTAATCCAGAACCAATGAAGATGGTGAAATTTGTTCATTTTCTTAAGCAGGTTCACTTCCTCCTGGGGAAAAAACCTCTAAAGCATCCTAAATTGGAACCTTTAGTTATGTGATGCCCTCTACTGTTCGAAGTAAGAATTACATATTAGTTTAGAAATAAAAAGTTACCTCTGAAGTATCATCATTCTTATTTTTAAATTGAAATTTGCCTAAAAAACCAGATATAAATCACAAAAATAACTGGTCAAATTAAAATACAAAAGTAAAGGTAAGAATTAAAATAAAGACAGTTCCTTAAATTTATAATAAAAAAATCTAAAAGCAAGCAAGAGACAAAATCATGAGCCTCACCTCATCCCTACTTTTATCTCAGTCCTGAAAATACATGTATGTATTATGTCATCCTTGTGCAACTTATTTTGCTCTGAAAAATCCCATATATATATATATGTATAAATAGAAGCCTGGCCTATAAAACACCCCAAATCTCTTTTTCTGTTTAGCTCAGCATGTGATACACAGTTCTGGGCATATTACAGAAACGAAGCTGTGAACCAACTAGTGACACTCCACAGGACAGAACAGAGAAGAATGACAAAGGAGTCAGAAAACATGGAAGAGGGACTTACGGTTGTTTAATCTAAAGGAGACTGAGAGGAGTCATGACAACAGTTTTCAAACATGTAAATAAAGAAAATAATATTCTCCGTGGCCACTGTGGATACAGTTAACTTGCCGCAAGAAAGATTCGAATCAGGCATGAGGGAAAACTTTCTATTAATCTTAGCACACACTGGCATTGCCAGATGAACACTCCAACACCTGAGGTCTTTACGGACAGGTAAGGCATGCACCTCTCAGAAATGACGTAACTAGAGGTGATTCTGTCAGAGGGCAGATGGACAGATCTCCAGAACTGTCCTGGTTCCTCCTCTGCCTCCCACTTCCATGTTGTCCTGCCAGCAAAAACCCGCCAACAACCCAACAACTCACAGAAGCCCATTTGGACATGCCCTGTTTTCCAGCTTTCAAGGCAGCGCTGCCACCCATTTCACGCACTTCTTCAGCGTTACAACAGCTCAGAACTCATTTGGGAATCTTATTTAAGCAGCGTGAGAGACGCTGGTACAATCACAGGCCTCCACCCGGGGCTGGGCCTCACCACCCTCTCCAGCCC